GTGCTCATGTACTCGTAAAACTACCCCGAAACCACTTTAGAGGCCGTTTACATATCGCGCGTGTTTTTTTTATTATATTTTTGTGCGTGCTTATTCTTTCCAAAGCGCATGCTCTCACGCGGCGTCTGTCGTTGCTATGCAACGAGTTTTTATTATGAGCGCGCTTGCCTCGCGCCTATATTTGAAATTGCGAATTTGCATGTAATCAGCCTCTTATATTTCTCTTATACCTCTTATATAAAATATTTCCATATGTGGCTCTTTCCTCCTTTCGTGTCAACAAGTGGATTCAGAGAGAGAGAGACATATCAGCGTTATGAAGAGGACGCAACTGTGCAGCTTTCAGACAGCGCGTCTAGAACTGGATTAACCTGGTATTCCGTCCCTAGAAAAGCTGGTACCGTAACATTTTTTTTTTTTTAGTACCGACTTGGTACCGAAGTACCGAGTTTTTTGACAACACTACAACAGAACATTAAACACTAACAGATCTCTCAAGGTCTCTGCATCCTCACTTATTACAATCCAGACTTTATTTATTGCATGTTAACATTCTTACTGAGAATTAACAGATGTTTAGAAGTTGATTTTTATGTGAAATAATAAAGTTTGAGGTCACCATGATGAGATCAGCGTTTGCTTTAGTGGGTCTCTTGACCCTTTGTTTTTAACATTACTTTTTCTCTGACTGCTATAACTCTATGTTGCTGATACGTTTTTTATAGTAGGAATCCAAGAGACTCTCAGTTCAGGAGATCTGATCACTTAGGCTATGTTTAGACGGAAACAATTCTGAACAGAAAACGCAAAAGTGGCGTTGCATCATCACTTTTTATTCTGCGTTTAGATGATCGTTTTGTGTGGGAAATTCGCGTGCCAATGGTGATGCAAAAGTCTGTGAAATTCAATGTAGTATGCACTCCAGGCGGCTAAGAGTGCATACTACAGCAAAACCAAGTCCACGCACTGCGTACAACCTTCACTGTCAAGCAGACTTTTGCGTTTTTACCCTTTTACACGGGAACGCGAAGGTGGAGCTTTTTTAAGATTTCCACTCTGGAGGGTGGTGTCACTTTTTTGCATTTTTAAGGCTCAAAAACGCCGTCGCCGTGTGGACGAAAGGCACATCCGATTAAATATTTTTATGTTTTCACTTGCCAGCGTTCTCGTGTAAACAGGGCCTTATTAGTGGCAATGGTCATCATGTAGTTGAATGCTTTATTGATTTCACCTGAAGATTGTAATATCTGATTAATTAGTTAAATATTAGTAGTTCATTTTGAAAGCCAATACTGTTATAGAAGATCATGCAGTGCCGTGATACTAATATTTTATCAAGTCATAAAATAGAAAATGTTTTGACAGAATCATATAGACTCACATAGACATCAAGAATCAGTGTATGAATCACTACAATGGTGATCAACTCTGAACTACTAAAGTCACACAAAGATTTTGTTTAGTGTAACCATTGTTGAGATTCATATGTAGATTATTGATGTCATTCTTCTAAAAAAACAATCAGGTCACCGTGTGATACCTATAATATCACCAATAAATGACCAACATCAGCTGATCTTTTCTCCTGCTTTCAATGCTACAACAAATGTACGTTGAATACATAGTTAAAGCAACTAGAGAAAAATTAATAACACACAATAAAGGTCAAGAACACAACTAAAGCAAACACTGATCTCAATCATGGTGATATCAAATTTCTGTTAAAGTTTTTTGCACTTTATTTAAAGAGCATATTGCAGCAGGTAAAAAAAATCGAAATGAATAGATAACCTTGTATGAAAATACCATATGAAAAGTTAATGCAGGATTTAAAATGTTTTTAACGTCCCAAACTAACCAATCTAAACCCATTGGCTGTTTCTGAGGGAGTGGTTTCATAGAATCAGGAAGTCAACCGGGCGTTCAATTTTTATTTTATTTTTTATTGCAACAGAGAATATGCAAAGAATATACATTACAATACAACTCCACAACAAATAGAAAATAATAAAAAAAGAAAGAAAAAAAGATCATACCAGGGGTAAAGTTACAATAATTTAAAGGTGCCATATGGGATAATTGAGGTAAAAATATCCAAAAAATGAGCTACACACATCAAAAGAATGAGAAGAAATAAGTGCAATGATGTCATTAAAAAACTGACAAGTTATAGTGCTGCCAAGATATAAACCTAAATTAGCATGCTAAATTACTAGCCCCGGCCCGGCAGGTGTCGTAATACCAATTTCGGCCATGGGAGGCGGTATGCGGGCGGGCAACATTACCACCAGCCAAACTGCAATAGACGAGTAACTCGCGCGGGTTGTGTGTACTTGAACCTGATGTCAGCCGTGTGGAAAATACAGCCCACTACTAAATTTCAGTTCAGGGATGAGTTAAAAAAAATTATGGTCGATATTATGCATGAGGAATACATTTTGGTAAGTTGTAGCATACTGTATCTTTCAACAGTGTTCGTTTTCTTTTACCATTAGCTAGTAGAGATGATCGGTTCACGTGCGCTAGGGATCTGTCGTCTAACATTTACAAGCGCCAAAACTGCATTTATTGTTTGAATTGTGTAATAAAATGAACAGAATCTGAGAGCTGAGATCGGTCTCCGTGTCCTTTTCTGTGCATGACAAAATGGATGTGTGGCGTGAGAGTGTGTGAAAAGTTGTGTGTCTCACGGTGAATTTGTGAGAGTTGGCAGCTCTAAAAAAAAGGCGCTAGCTTGGTCCACATCAGGGAATGCTATCATTAGTTTCAAATTAATTCAAACTAATGATAAAAATGTAACATGAACAAAACGAATACCATAAAATAGAAATAACTTTAATAGCCTGGGCTTTAATTTTCCCATATCGTCGAAATGCACCAGCTGGTCTATGAGATGGCCTTTATAATTTAGTATTGAGATGTTGTTCATTTAGTCTGTAATCAGTAAAAAATCTCCAAATGATCCATGTGAAACTGCGGTCTTCCAATCTTTTACTATCGTGTCAATTGATTTGATTAATATGCGCGAGGGATATTAGCGCTCGCCTGTGTTGTTTGAAGACATGAGTGCGCACGGCCACGGAGGTATTTTTCTGGAGGTATACTGCCCCCACCTGGTATGGAATATTGTGTATGATTTGATTTTTTATCCCAGAGGGCACCTTTAAAGTAACAAAGAGCTTCATAGGTCTTTCTGGCTTTTTTGTTCTTAATTTTTTCTAATGAATTACCATACTGTTTAATCTTTTTCAATAATCTGCTTCTTTACCTTTACAAAACAAAAATAGAGCTTTCCTTTTCAGCACGTCACATAATCCCCTGGCATTAACAGAAAATGAAGAGTTCAGATGCAAAAGCCTCTAAATGCCATTTGAAATTTTCATCTTTAATGATGATTTTTATCAAACTTGTATATTTAAGTTCAGTAATTTCACTTAAATAACAATTAATAGGTAATTATCATTGCCATTTAAGTGAAATAACTGAACTTAAATATACAAGTTTGATAAAAATCATCATTAAAGAAGAAAATTTCAAATGGCATTTAGAGGCTTTTGCATCTGAACTCTTCAAATATTCTTAAACTCAAACAAGACCAGAAAAAAAAAAAAACCCTAATAGAACAATTAGGTGAACAATGAGCAAATTAAGGTTGAAAGTGTTGAGAGTGTATAAAGGGTAAACTTACTCCATCACTACGAGAAACCATCACATTTCAGGATCATTCTTGAAATCTTATTAGCTTTAATTTGAGTAACAGAAAAGGAATAACAACCTCATGTTGTTGTAATTTCGCATCACTAATGAATGTAAGCATTAATAAAAAATAAAAACCTTATATAATTCGTTTTAAAGAATAACCAAAAGCAAACATCTACTTCTCGTTTCACAGAACTTTAAGATTCAAAATCAGAGCCCATAATAAGGGAGCAGTGGTTTACATTTTAATTTCTTTACTGTCAACAGTTGCCTTGATTCCCACAAAGAAGGCCCTTTTGCCCTCTTTCCGTGCTTTGTCGATCGAAGGCCAAAGGAGATTCCGCGTAGCCCTGTCTTTGATCGTGAGAACCTCTTTAAAGTACATCATGTTCTTCTTAAGAAAGTGATTTCCCTTTGCTCCTTTCCATGTGAAGTCCTTCGCTGTTCTGGAAGTGAATCTTATAATCACCGGCCTTGGTCTCTTATCCTTGCCGCCATCTGAGATGAGTCTTCCAACTTAGCGAGCAATGTCCACATTATTTGCAACGAAGTTACTATCTTCTTCGACAACCTCCGCTCTGCAGATTTCCATTACCCGAGTCTTGACATTATCCTCTGCACGTTCGGTCAGCCCCTCCAATCGAAGAGTCCATCTCCGACAGTACCGATCCAGATCATTTATTCTCTCCTCCACTTCAGAGATGTGCTTCAGGTTCTCCTTGTTTTTGTTTTTCAAATCTTCATTCTCCTTCCGAATGGCCTTCTTGGCCGGCAAGTTTCAATCCATTAGAAGCCTATGGAGGAGTGACCCAGCTCTCAGATTTAATCACAAATATCTTAATTTGTGTTGCGAAGATGAACAAAAGTCTGACGGGGTTGAACAACATGAGGGAGAGTAATTACTGACAGAATTTTCATTTTGGGGTAAACTACTGTATCCCTTTAAGTTGCACTATTTCATTTCATTTTCATTTAGCGATTGCTCCTGACAATAAAATGAAAACATTTATGTCAAGATCACAAGAAAAAAAAAGACTGAATAGACTAGGACTTTCATAATTGCAGAAATGTTCCGTAACCTGTGTACCTTTTTCTTGTCAGGCCACGGTTCTGTCGTATGTATTAGTGTTACAAGCAGACGTTGGTACTGTCAGGAAAATTGACCCACCAGCTGAGTTACATTAAAACAACCCAACATAAATAAAAAAACAGCATTTTTTTAAGAGTGTATGTTTTGTTAATTTCTTACTCTTGGCTTGCAGTGAAAAGCATGATAATTTGCCCTTACCTGATTCTGATCTTGTTCTATACATTTAATTCAGGGATGTCAGAGATCTGCTCCAGTTCAGATGATCCAGTGATCAGGATTCTTCTGATGGGCAGATATGGTTCTGGGACAAGCTCATCTGGAAACACTATTCTGGGAGAAAAGAGGTTTAAAGTAAAGAAGCATGAGTCTGAAGTTTGTGAGGGTAAAACTCAGATCGGAGACAAGCAGGTGCATGTGTTTATTTCTCCAGATCCACTGGATCCAGATCTGTCCGAAGAGAAGCTGGAGGAACTGAAAGAAGAGCTGATCAAACTATGTTCCTCAGGTCTCAGTGCAGTTCTTATCACCGTTCCTCTAGAGCAACCTGTGCAAAATGAGGAAGAGATCCTCGATTTCATTAAAGGTTTATTCGGTCCTGAAGTTCACAAGTACATGATGGTCCTTTTCACACGTGGAGATGAACTGGAAGATCTGGATGAACCACAGACCATTGAGGAATATCTTCGAAGTAAAGATCATGCAGATCTCCAGCAACTGGTGACTGAATGTGGAGGAAGGTTTCACTGTTTCAACAACAAGAGTAAATCAGAGAGTCAGATACAAGAACTACTGCTGAAGATTGAACGAATAATGATGAAGAACAAAGGGAAATTTACCATGGGGCAAATGAAAAGGAGAGACAGCAAAAGCGGTTACCCTGTCAATTGTAAGTTGTGTAAATGATTCATACCCTTGGTAAATATGATCAAAGACGGCTGTGAAAATCAAACCACATTTTTAATCCTTTAAAATAACCTCTTTAAAAAATTATAAAATTCTAACCTTTCATTGGAGAATATACTTTTAAATGGGGGGACAATCTCAAATAAATGTTTTTCTCTAACACACATTTGTCAGGATCAATGAAAAAGGATACAGTAGTGAGTGTGAAAATTGTGTCTATTTATTAAATAAATAATAAGAGTAGATGAAGTGGGTCAGATTAGAGTTGCCAGGGAACAGTCTCTCTTGGCAGCGCAGGGACACAAATGGGCAACCAAGTCCTCCAAAATCATGGAAGAGCGACCAGGAACACAGACACCATAATCCAAACACGAAATGCTGGAACCACTAAGGCCTCGTTTACACATACATGGTTATTTGGGAGAAATTTCCATTCATTTGTGCCCTTCATTTAGAATTTGCCTCTGAAAAAGATTATTTCAAAAAACTAAAAAACCAGAGTGGAGATTTTGGAAAACTTTGTTTGCATGTAAACTGAGAGTTTTAGGCAGCCGATGTCACAGTATGTGACAGATCTTGCACCTGCGTCAAAAATGCGACCGACTGATTAGGCTAGGTTTGGCATGCTCTTGACGGCATATATACACTGACTCGTGTAAACGAAACCTTTTTTCATACATAGGGCACACCGGATTATAAGGCGCATAAGATACTGCAGTCAAACGGACTGGGTTTGCGTTTTGCATCCTCTAGATGTGCTAAAGGGAATGCAGCGAGTGCGCAGTGTCGGAGATGAGGCATTTATTTAGTAAGCGTGAGCACGTTTTGGTGGCACGTAACTTACATTCGCAGCCTGGCTCATATGAGTATTCAATGTGCGGCGGCTCGCTGACAGCAACAGCTGGCTGTTTTGAATGAGACGACCCGGTTACTGTAAACGGGGAGCGCTTGATGAACATTCTGTGACGCGCGAGCAGCGCCGGGGACAGTGTGTCTGTTTGTGTGTCTGATAAGAGTGAGCGCTCGTTAGCGGGAGACAAACATAACCTGAGGGAGGATAAGGTTGAACTGGCCGTGTGACAAAGCGGGCATAAGATGGACACGAGCGCGAGTTATCGGGTGAATTTAATAACGCGAGTTATATATGGATCAATTAGTTATTGTTGACTAATTGATCCATATATAAGGCACACTTTCATTTTTTTTTTGAAAATTAAAGGCTTTTAAGTGCGTCTTATGGTGCGGAAAATATGGTAATCAAACAGACCACTGGGAGGTGGGTATGGGGGGGGGGGGGGGGCACCAGAGGAGACTGGCAGAGGAGATTCACCTTTTTCTCGACTAATTTGGTCTAGGCCTATATTACTTTTGTATTGCTTTTGTATATTAACACGCTTTAGACATATTTTGTTTGTTATTTATACTAGTAGCCTATTGTGATGATTTTTCACGACCCAGATTTTTTGGTGCCCCCCCAAGCATTTGGTGCCCTACGCGCGGTGCGTGTGCGTAGCGCCGGCCCTGATAATAGCTATGAGTTTTATCCTATAATGTCTGATGAGTTTGGAGATCACCTGACAAGAGATCAGAGACTATTCCTCCATTCAGAACCTCTCCAGATCCTTTAGATTCCCAAATCCATGTTGGTGCTTCTTCTCTTCAGATCACACACTCATTTTCTGTAGGGTTCAGGTCAGGGAACTGGGACAGTCATGGCAGCTTTTTTTATTTATTTTGGGCTCATTGACACATTTTTGCATTGACACATTTTTGCATTGATTTTGATGTTTGTTTTGGATCATTGTCCTGATCGAGAAACAACTAGGGCCCATTAAAAGATTTCTAGAAAAGGCTGTAAGGTTTTGATTTTTTTTATCTGTTGATATTTGATAGAAACCATGATGCCTTGTATGCCTAGAACTCCATCAGGTGACCCAATGAAGAAGAAAAAACCTTGGGAGAACCCAGGCTCAGTCGGGGCCAGTTCTCCTCTGGCGTTTTTGAACTAGAGGCCGGATTTACAGTAACTGTAAGGTAAAAATGGTCTCTAAACAGACTTTAAACGCGAACCTGTGATAAACACTGATGGCGTTCACATGCGCATTAAGAATTGATTCTATAGTTATGTGCGTTTGAATATGTGAGCGCAGGTTTGTAAATCCCTACAAAACCATGCCTGAACAAACTACTTGTCTTGTCTATAAATTTGATACAGAATTTTGTTTTATTTTATCACTTCGGGGTAGGTACGCAAAACAAAATTCACAACGCTTTATCTGTAGAGTGGGAAAGGGATCCTAGGGAGAGGTCAGCTGACAGGGCAGAATACTCACCCAGCCCTCTCCAGCCCCGCCCCCGCTAAATTCCGGGCCAAGTGGCGCTCCTTAGATGGGCTGCTCAAAGATGGGAGAATCATCTCATCCCTGATAAGGAGAATATTTTGCTCTCCTCTCCCCGCTGCTCACTCCCAGGTGGGCAGCACCCTAGTGTGATTAAAGAAAGAAGTAACACATCCATCCCTCAGCACACAGAGTTCTCGGACGATACGGTGTGCCACCCCCGGGCAGTGCACCCCTCACACTCCTCTGTCCCAGAGCCGGATGATAGTGCGCACTGTCCCCAAACCGTGCCGCTCTCATCCTCCTCTGTCGCAGAGCAGACTCCGTGGAACGTTCATCCTTCCCTGGTTTCCTCTGTCAGGACGCGGTCAATGGCTGTGCCCCCACACCGGGCCGCTATGCCACCCACGTCCGGGCCAGTCATTCCACCTCGTTGCACCACCGATGGGAAGTCTGTGGTTCGTATGACCCCGCTGTTTTAGTCGTTGGGAGCCTGGCTAAAGCTTCCCAACCTGTCCCGCTGGGTCGATCGGATAATCAGGCTCGGCTACGCAATTCAGTTTGTGTGGTCTTCTGGATCTGCCTCACTTCAGGGGATTCCACAAAAAGGGCAATGCCCCTATCATGAGACCAGAGGTTGCTACCCTACTGGAGAAGGGTGCGATCAAGACTGTCCCTCCAGCTGAGAGGAGGTCTGGCTTCCACAGCCCGTACATCATTGTCCCGAAGAAAACCTGTGGGTTATGGCCAATCCTGGACCTGCGCATTCTGAACCGCTCCCTTTACAGGATGCCTTTCAAGATGCTCACCGCCAAACGCATTTTCGAATGTATTCGGCCCTAGGATTGGTTTGCATTCTCCATTCGCCCTCGACACAGTTCCTACAGTTTGCTTTCGAGGGGCAGTCCTCTAAGCTATGGGATATGTTCCCCAGTGTATCTTGGTATTCCTGTGTTAAATAGGAGTCCTTCGTCCGTGCCAGTCTCACGACAGGGATCACAGATTTATGCAGGGCACTGGAAGACAGCCAAGAAGGTGGCGTGATTAGACTGGAAACCCCTTTCGTCGTCATCAGGCGGAATGTCTCCATTCCCTACTCAGGGAACGAGGGTTACATCCGTAACCGAGACGTTTTCTAACTTGAATCCTGATACAGAAGAGAAGAAACATTGATCTGGGAATCTAAAGGACCTGTGGAGATTCTGATTGGAGGAATGGTCTCTGATCTCGTCAGGTGTTCTCCAAACTCATCAACCATTATAGGAGAAACTCAGAGCTGTTCTCTGCATAAAAAAGAGGATGCATTTACATTTATTTCATAATGAGATTTTCCATGAGATTTAAAAGTACTTTTCTGCAATGAAAGGTTTTAATTTTATAAATGTACAGTATATCTATTTGTGTACATAAAGTAGCAAGAAAAATTATGTGAACCCTTTGGAATGAACTGGATTTCTGCAATAGTTTGCCATAAAATATGATCAGATCTAAGGCACAACAATAGACAAACACAATGTGTTTAAACTGATAACAATTAAAAACAACAGTTTTTAATTTCTGATGTTTTTATTACACAGACTGATTAAACATTTGGGCTACGTTACACGTGGCCGGCTATTTTCATAAATGGACAATTCACACTCTCTGTTTACTCGAAAAAAATTATAAATACAACACTTTTGTTTTTATGCCCCATTTTTCATGAGCTGAACTCAAAGATCTAATATTTTTTCTGTACACAAAAGGCCTATTTCTCTTAAATATCGTTCACAAATCTGTCTAAATCTGTGTAAGTGAGCACTTCTCCTTTGCCGAAATATTAATTCACCTCACTGGTGTATCAAGATGCTGATTAGACAGCATGATTATTGCACAGGTGTGACTTAGCCTGGCCACAATAAAAGTGTTTCAGAGAATTTGGCAGTACATCCAACCAGCCTCACAACCGCAGAGCACGAGTAACCACACCAGCCCAGGACCTCGAGATCCAGCATCTTCACCTCCAAGATCATCTGAGACCAGCCAGCCGGACAGCTTCTGCAACAATCGGTTTGCATAAACAAATAATTTCTGTCAGAAATCATCTCAGGGGAGCTCCAATACATAAAAAATACACATTTTATTGTGGCCAGCCTAAGGCACACCTGTGCAATAATTATGCTGTCTACATTTACATTTATGCATTTGGCATATGCTTTTATCCAAAGTGACTTACATTGCATTTCAAGGTACACATTTACATTCTTATCAGTTCTTGCTTTACCTGGGATCGAACGCATGACATTGGTGTTACAAGCACCAACACTCTACTGTTTGAGCTACAGGAAGGCTCAGCCTCTTGTCCAATCAGCATCTTGGTGGATGGATTATCTTGGCAAAGGAGAAGTGCTCACTAACACAGATTTAGACAGATTATTGAACAATATTTGAGAGAAATAGGCCTTTAGTTTACATAGGAAACGTCTTAGATCTTTGAGTTCAGCTCATGAAAAATGGGGACAAAAACAAAAGTGTTGCATTATAATTTTGTTCAGTGTACATATGCCATTGTTAATTATTCTAATAAAAAAAAAATATAGCGATTTGTTCAATAAGTGTCCATCTGTAGTTTGCTGCACTGGTCATATGAAAATAATCCCTGAAGTGTTTTATTACTGATTTATTTGATCTATAGTTTCAGGAAAGTCTGCAGCTGAAGATCCAGATGGGATTGATGTGTTTTCTGAAAGGAAAGACCAGATCAGGCTAGTTCTGCTGGGAAAAACTGGATGTGGGAAAAGTGCCACTGGAAACACCATCATCGGCAGAAACGTGTTCAAATCTACAGCCGGTTCAATCTCTCAGACAAAACAGAGTAATTTGGAAACTACTGTGAGGTTTGGTAAAAAGATCTCTGTGATCGACACACCTGGACTTTATGATACTGAACTCAGTAAAGAGCAGATCAAAACAGAAATAGTTAAATGTGTAACATACGCTTCTCCAGGACCACATGCTTTTCTTATCGTCATTAGAGTGGGTCGATTTACTGAGGAGGAGAAAAACACAGTGCAACATCTCAAAGAAGTGTTTGGAGAACATATACTAAAATACACCATGATCCTCTTTACTTACAAAGATCAATTAGAGAAGCAAAAGAAAACCATAGAGCAGTATCTAGAGGAAGGTGATCCAGATCTCAGAAAACTCATTGACAGTTGTGGAAATCGATTCTTCTGTCTGGACAATGAGACAGCCAGTTCCCCACAGATCAAAGATCTGATCTGTAAAATAGAGAAGATAATGGAAGAAAATGAAGGGGGACACTTTACAAGTGACATGTTTGATGAAACTGAGAAATGCATTCAGAAGATTCAGAAACAGAAACTAGATGAGAAACTGAAGCAGCACAAACAGCAGCACAAACGCCTCTCTAAAACAGAATGGAAGAAACTTTACTGGGATTTAGTCGACCAGTCACGGCGCGAAGCTGAGGAATCTTTTTATGAAAGAAATCTGCGACTCTTGGAGAAGACCAGTGAAGAGGGAGCCAGTGCCACAAAGGAATCTGAGCACAAAGCAACCGGTCGTTTTAGGGCAGTTATACTTGCATTCACAGAGAGGATGTGTGTGATTCAGTGAAAAACCATAATGATCAGACACACAATATGCTAGGGCATCAATACATCTCAAGTGGTTCAGTGGAGGTTATTTAACCATTATACATTTTCTTAATATTTTAATTTTCTTTAATCATTTTTTTAGCTCTTATCTCTGGTATTGCAAAACCATTTTGTTTCCACCTGATTTATCCATAGCAGTCATCTTTGTGTCAGTTTTTCAGCTTTATTTATATAGCGCTTTATACAGTTCGGATTGTTTCAAAGCAGCTTCACAGCATTTAAAGTTTGTATGATTGTATTGAAATTCTACAAATCTACAAATTCTATCAGGTGATAGAAATGGAGAAAATATGTGGACTACTTGTGATGGAATGTCTTCTGAGATAACTCTTTTATGATGGAGACTGATTAATACTGATTTTCATTAAGTGTGCTTGAAGTCAGTTTATAACAGCTTCAATCTGAACTGAATTTGAACTGAGACTGGACCACAGGCTTTTTCTTGATCAACATTAAAGTGGGTCGATTCACTGAGGAGGAGGAAAATACAGCTTAAAGAAGTGTTTAGAGACCATGATTGCTCTTGACATTCAAAGATCAGCTAAATGAGGAATATAAAACTGCTTCTACCGAATAGTGATCAAGATCTTCAATCCTCAATACAAAACGGCACCCTGGGACATGATGTTACTTCAGAAAGAACAAAGAGATAATTAAACTAATGTGATATTGTTAAATTATCTGAAAACGAGACAAAAAGTAATCAAAATGCCACCAAAGAAAATCAATGCAGTTGAGGAAGAGTTGGAGGAGATACGAAAATCTTTAAACTTCAAGTCAGATGAGTTGAGCACAGTTGCTAAACAACAAGCTATGCTAATTGATCTGATGGTGATGAAGCTTGTAAACGAGAAGAATAAGAAAATTGAATGATTGGAGAGAAGGATCGATGATCTGGAACAATATACAAAAATGGAGTATTTACTTCTAAATGGATAGTACTGTGGCCAGAGACAAATTTGGTGAAGATGCCCTGCCAGAGGAACTTCAAGCACTGGAAAAACAAGTCATAAAGTTCTTTGAAAGTAAGAATATGAATATTCAGAGTGTAACTCAAAACCGAGTTACTGAGGCAAGCTTAGAAGTTGAAGGGTACAGGGGTGTATCTGAATGAACATCTTACCATGAAGAATGCCGATATTTCTAGACGCGCACGCATTCTGAGGAAACAGAACAAGATACAAGTTACATGGACACGGAATAGCAAAGTGATGATACCTGAAGAATCCAAAGTACTCACAATAAGAGAACTCAAAGAATTGGACCAGTACGATAAGTGAGGACTACTGTATGTGGATGAATATCCATGATAAACAACAACTGTAGGTTGTGTTACAAGTGAGGACTATGTGGAGGAATATCATATGGACTCATGCATCACAAAATAAATGATTGGTTCCCATACAGAGATTGACTGTGGGGAATTTGTTACGGACTGTGTGCCTGACCGCTACAAATTCAATACTGCGAGTATGAAAATTTGAATTTTACATTTTTTTAATCTCACAGAGTATAAAATGTATGATATTAAAAATGATATTGACCTGGAAAACCATTCTTTAAATAATGTAAATAAGAATTGTTGTGAGTATTACACAGAAGAACAATTTAATAGAAATGTGGATATGGAAGGGGCATTATCAATAATACATTTTAATAGTATACTAAGTCTTTATAGAAACTGTACAAATTAAGGATTACCTGTGCCAGTTTAACAAATTTAATGTGATTGCTGTGTCAGAGACTTGGCTTGATAATGAGAAAGTTCAAGACGTAGAATTGGAAGGATACAATTTGTTTAACAGTTAAAGGTTCAACCAAAAATGAAAATTAAGTCATTAATACTCACCCCCATGCTGTACCAACCCCCGTAAGACCTTCGTTCATCTTCGGAACACAAATGAAGATATTTTTTATTAAATCTGAGTGGTGGATCACTGCTACATAGGCTGCCTAAGGGAATGAAACTTGACGCCCCAGAAAGTCATTGAAGAAAATGTTTAAATATTCCATGTGCCTACAGTGGCTCATTTATAAGTTTATAAAGTGCCGTGACTACTTTTTGTGTGAACCCCCCCCCATACATAACGACTTTATTCGACTATTCCATTACTTCCTTGTGGGCCTTGAGACGAGAGTTGAAGAGATTTCCAGAACGCATGCGCGAGAACTGAGATGAGGACGTTCTTCTTCGACTACTTCTTGTTACCGGCTGCTCACCGCTTAGGAGTATTACCGCCACCTACCGTATAAGATGACGTTCTGATATAGCCGGAAGCGCAAAACTTTCTGTTTAAGGGACTTTCACACAGGACGCGGTATGCGCTGCGCTATGAAATCCATTCATTTCAATGGCTTGTGCTGCACGAAGACGTTTTGTTTCTGCATCGACCAAAGCGCAAGCGCAGCGGTGCGCACCATTGACTTGCTCGCGTGCACGCCGCGGTCAAAGTTCAAAATAGTTTAACTTTTGCCGCTGCGCTCTCTGACAATTATCCCCTATGCGATTATCTTGCGGCCAATAGAAACGGGACATAGAAACAAACACGGATATCAAAATGGATGAACGGCTAGTTTTTTTGTTTTTTTTCAGTATTTACAATATAATACAACAACATTTGTTTATGCCAGGGTTGATACACACAATACAGTACTAAACAGACATACAAGACAAACAATAACCATAAAATAAAATAAAAAAATAAAACAAGACCAAATTAAATAAAAAGATGCTAATTAAACATATTTTGAAAGTACAAGATCGGTCTTAATAGCCTTTCTATTTTTAAGACCTCTTGCAGTGGTGTGATATTGTTTTAGCTCTGCTAAATGTGTTCAAAATTTGGTTTGGACTCTGCCCATTTCTTCTTATGAATATGGAATTTTCCTAAAACTAAAAAACAATTGGACAAAAAAAAAAAAGAAAAAGAAAAATTCTTATCTGTTCCACCATCTTCAAAGTGAATAAACACATCTTTTGCCCTCAATGTTAAAGTTTGTCCGGTTGGATGAACGGCTAGTACTGTCGCAATTTCCTGAGCTGTACAATACAATTTTGACATCGTCAGAAAAGCTGTGTCATGGAGACATATCTCCATTCAAGTTGGCTTGTCAGGTGTGTTTTAATAAATATATAATTTCTTCCTTTGTTGTCAGATTTAATGTTTGAATAAATGTTCTAAAAAAGAACTGAGCTCATTATTCGTGTGTTGATTATGATGTTATATGTGTACACGCACGCACATATATGTATAATATCATATGGCATAGCGCAGCGCAAATCACGTTGTATCTGAAGGGCAAAGCTCAACCCACGAAGGGCAACGCTCAACCCACAACCCGCATACCGCGTCCTGTGTGAAAGCCCCTTTACAAGCAGAGGAACACGTGCGCTGTACATATGCTTTTCAGTTAGACACTTAAATTAACATCCCGCTGAACAGCCAGCAGCCATAGCTTCAGTTGCTCAAGATCATTAAATGGGAAAGTGAAAAAGGTAAGCCTTTTATTTTGCAACACTGAAGCACTTTTATGTTCTCTCTCTGGTTGGTTTCTCACGATTCGGACATCCTGGAAATGCACACTTTTTAACCATTGTATATAATATAGCGAGACCTACAGCACATTAAGTGTCTAATTGAAAAGCGTATGTACAGCGTGCATCTTCCTCTGCTTGTAAACAGAAAGTTTTGCGCTTCCGGCTATATCAGAACGTCATCTTATACGGTAGGTGGCGGTAAAACTCCTAAGCGGTGAGCAGCCGGTAACAAGAAGTAGTCGAAGAAGAACGTCCTCGTCTCAGTTCTCGCGCATGCGTTCTGGAAATCTCTTCAACTCTCGTCTCAAGGCCCACAAAGAAGTAATGGAATAGTCAAATAAAGTCGTTATTTATGTTTTTTTTTTTTTTTTTTTGCACAAAAAGTAGTCTCATCGCTTGATAAACTTATAGTTGAGCCACTGTAGGCACATGTAATATTTAAACATTTTCTTCAATGACTTTCTGGGCCGTCAAGTTTCAATTCCTTAGGCAGCCTATGTAGTGATCCACCACTCAGATTTAATCAAAAATATCTTCATTTGAGTACAGAAGATGAACGAAGGTCTTACAGGGTTGGTACAGCATGGGGGTGAGTAATTAATGACTTAATTTTCATGAATTTTGATATTTGGGTGAGCTAACCTTTTAATAAAAAAGGAGGTGTTGCTTTGTATGTTGATACAACGTTAAAGGGCACCTATTATGGCATTTAAAATGTTCCTAATATTGTTCTGGGAGTCCCCAACAACAGTTTTACATGAATGCAATGACAAAAAACACTTTTGTTGTTTTATAATATGCATTTATTTTTACCTGATTTGCTCACCAACTCCCAAATGATTCGTACAACGACACATTTTTCTAAACCACTCCTTTGCGTGACGCTAATCGGCTGTGATTGGTCAGATGACCCAGTCAGTTATTGTTTGTTAGCCCAACGCATAAACATATTGATAAAGCACTGCTGTACTACAAGACGCTCTATTCTTTATGACAACTCCAATAACAGCGACAAACATTTCACAATTCACATATTTAAGACATTGGAGACCTAGAAGCTGCGCTGAGCGTAACTTCACACACACATACTTATTGCGCCTTCCCTCCTCGCGCCCCGACACTACACAACCCATAAAAGCAACAATTATTAATAATACTTCCCACATAGCAACATTGTTTTGGCCCAGATCCGGCCCACATCTGGCACTTGTGGGATGTGGATGCAGCAATGAATGACGGCCTTTGGGTGGCCCACTCCTGTTTGCCAGATCTGGACCACAAGCAGGCCATAGCAATGCCACATGTCAGCCAAGAGCAAAGAAATAAACCAGAACTGGACTTTATCTGAGCCACAAAATCTGTGTATATTAAACATGGAGTCACCTCAACCTTAATAAGCCTGTTAACAAGCAGAATCACTGAAGGAAAGAAGAGACAAGCAGAACAACTACAACTGACTTTAGACACCGTCTTAAATGAAATCACCTGAAGAGAAAAGAAGACATTAAATCTGAAGATCTCAGCAGAGGAGGATTAAACAACTCCGCAAACAGCATTACCAGCTTCACTTATTACTAACCAGACTGACCTTATTTTTGTCAGACTTCTACAGAAGATTTTATTGGGAATTAGCAGAGGTTTAACTCTTTCATTTGAAGTCACCATAACATCAGAATCTCTGAAGGAGAAAATCGTAATTGGTTACCATTATGGAGATCAGTGTTTGCTTTAGTTGGGCTCTTGAGCCTTAAGTCATTTATTTTAGAATTTATTCAGCTACTGTACTTCTGTTATAACAGCCAAATGAACAAAGATTTGATGGTGTTTGCAGTTAAACATTGTCACTATTTAATTATCATTTCACCTTTTCAGAGCCATATTTCTGAGTTAACTTTATTTTATTGTTTTTTGTTACTACACTCTCCTTGATAATCATAATATTCTCAACTTTTACAATGTAATCCAAATAATTTCTTAAAACTTAATTTTAAAAAGACATCAAGAATCAGCCTGTGAATCTCAATGATGGTGACAATTATAAAGCATTTTGCAGTGTATTCTGGATGCCACCAATCAAACCTCATGGCTCCCACATTGGCATCTACCCCCACATGTGCTGGCCCCATACACAATCAGTGATTCTCTTTTCAAATATGTAAAATAAGGAATGTAAACCGCTGCTGCTGTATGTCCCGAGTCTGAATTGAGTTAATTTGATCCATCTTAGTGATGTTACGTTCGTGAACGAATCGTTCTTTTTGAACGAATCTTTTAGGTGAACGAATCATTCTCGTTCACGTTATCCATTGACTCGTTCACTGAAATTCCCCCTTCTACCACTGCGCGCCGCTATTGCGCGCATGCGCAGCTCAATGAACCGTGTAGCTCTGTGGCCCGTTTCATTTGTCAAAGACAAAGAGTGACTAAACCTCGAGCCAATAGCCTTCGAGTATGATACGGGACGGAGCATGTGATTTGTTGAATCTAGTGAACGAATACGCCCTTTATTGAGTTGATTTGAGTTTGAACGTGTCCAATGAACTGTTACATACATCTCGTTCGTGAATGAAAGAACCAGTTGTTTGAACGTCAAGATAATAATGACGACGAAGTTAACAGTGCAAGCTGATGGTTTAATTTAATAAAAGAAAGCTTAAAATTTTCGTTTTTACTAAAATCTACAAACTACATCAGGTAATCTGCTAACTTCAATATGAGTGGCACCACTAGCACTGGTGTTGTTTTGGGTGCATTTTGTATTATTTATTTTTATTATTGTTGTTTTATGTTTCAACGGTTTTATACTTTAAAAATAAATATATATGTCATGTCATGCACTTTTGTTTGTTTAAAAACTGTAAAACATTAAAAAAAAAAATAGAGTATTGATTATTTGCGTCACGTCATTCCAGCTCATTTGCGTCACGTGACTCACGTCAGCTAATAGCATTTCAGCTTGGGCTTAGAAGGCGCCTGTAATTGGTTGGATCTACTCTGCTGAATGAGTCTGAACGAGAGAGAGATCTCCCGTTCGTGAACGAATTGAACGAACTGGTTGCTATACCCAGTTCGTGTACCAGGTCGGCCATTCTGTCAATCTAGTTCATCAATCAGCAGAAAGTGAATGCAAAGCGCAGGTATCCGTACTGTGAACGCGCAATTCATAACTTACATACA